ATGAAGGCAAATCATAAACAAACTTCTAAAACTAAAGACAAACAGGAGGGAAATATTGAAGACAGAGTGTGCTTAGAAAGAAACAATTCATCATATAAAAGGAACACCAGTTTAAGTGACAGAAGATTTCTACCTAGAAATCACAACTGCAAAAAGGAAGAGGTATACAGTTTTTCAAATTCTAGAAGAAAGAACTGTTAACAATGTATTCTGTGTGTAACAAAACTGTCTTCTAAGAATCCATGCGCGATAAGAATTTCTGAGACAAAAGAAAGCTAAAAGAAAATTTCACTAACATTCCTAACATTAAAGACCAGGCAAAACAACTTTAAACAGAAAGAAAATGACAAAAGAAAACTGCCAAGACTGCAAAACAAAAGAAAAGACAATAAGAGAGGAAAGATATAGGTAAAAACATGAATTTTCTAAATAATATGTAATGATTAAAATAAAAAGTATAATCTGTCTGATCCTCAAGACAATGATATTTTAAAGTGAGGAAGGGAAAAGAATCTAAACAGAAGTTTCTTATTTCATTCACTTCAAGTAGTAAAATGTTGATACCAACACATGAAAAATTACAAACAAAACAATCACCATAAAATTCACACAAAACAGTATGTACAGAAATGCTATAAATAAATCAAGATGAAATTTTTTTATTTTAAAAACAAACAAACAAAAATAATCAAGGAAGTCAAGAAAAGGGGAAAGAGGAATCAAATAAAAAACAAATGATAGCCAGTTGTGGTGGTGCACACCTGTAACCCCAGCATTTGGAAGGCCGAGCCAGAAGGATTGCTGCAAGTGTGAGGCCATCCTGGGCTACACACTGAGAGGATAACCTAACTACCTAGTGAGACCCTGGCTCAAACAAGCAAACAGAAAAGGATATAATTAAGCCTCATGTGTGAGAACTTACTTGAAAGTGAACAATATAAGTATGTCAAGTAAAATGTAGACAGTCGAATAAATTCAAAAAGCATGAACCAACAATATATGTTTGTAAGAAACAGACTTCAATTTCAATGACATAGTTAGGACAAAACGGTAGGAACAAAAAAAGATATATCATGTAAATATAATTTCTTGAAAGTCAGTAGTAACTAATATCAGATGGAGTTCAAAACATACATATACAGCATATATGTGTGCCATATACATAAAGGTTAATAAAAAGCACAGCGTGTTTAAATAACAAAGTCATATGGTAAAAGACATATGGTCATTGTCTCCCTCAAGATACTCCCCCACGCTTTGAACACATTCATCCCATCATTCTTTCGGAAGCAGTTCTGGACGTCTTTTTTTGCGAATGTCTTTATGAGGTGTTGTCCAAATTCAGTGAATGCGTTACTGAGTGCTACCCAAGGAAAGGCAGAGGAGTGAACACGTTACAGTGCCTCCTTGCTTTAGCCACCAGATCTGGCACAGTGCAACCTTTGCCTTTTCCCCAGTCACGAAAGACCATGGAAGATAAACGTTTTGAATCAATTCAAGACATCCAGGTAGCCACAACAGCACAACAAAAGATACTCACAAAAAAGAACTTCCAGAATTGCTTTAGAAAGTGGCAAAAACAATGAGAATATGACTGTTCCTCTTATATGGAGAAACTTGTATAAATATAAAGCTATCGACCCTCAGGAAGATACAATGGAAAAATAGAATATAGAAATTCACAATTATAGGTATGAATTTAGCATGCTCATTGAAGCAAGTAAAGACTGTGGGACAAAAGTTCACAAGGATGCAAACATCTGAACAGAATCAGTAAGATCTGAGGGACATCTACAGGAATTGCTGCTCAGACATAGCAAAACTAATTTTTTTTCAGGCACTCAAAAGACATTTACCAAGATAGAACTTGTCCTACACTAAAAACCTTCAACAAATTTGATGTAATTGAATTGGTAGAATATGTTTTATAACCCTAATGAAATCAAAATAGAAATCAATGGCAGAAAGGCAAATGTCTATAAATACTTCAGCAATATAATTCTTACTTCTAAGTGATTCAAAGAAATGTCTCAATGGAAATTTTAAAAATAGACAACTTTCTGCACTATGATGAAAATATGTGGAATGCAGCTAAAGCAGTGTTGAGACTTAAATTTGTGATATTAAATGCTTATATTTAAAAAAAATAAAAAGAAGCCTGAAACAATCAGAAAGAAATAAGAAGCAAAAATCAAAGAAATTAAAAAGGAAAAAATCAATGAAACAAAACACTGCTTTTTAAAAAACTGAAGGAAGATGGGCATGGTGGTACATGCCTACAATCCCAGCACTTGGGAGCTAGAGGCAGGAGAATTGCCAGAAGTTTGAGGCCGGCCTGAAATATACCATGAGCTCAAGGCAAGATCCTATCTCAAAAAAAAAAAAAAAAAAAAAAAAAAAGTAAATAAAAAATAGAAACATGACCTGTCAAAGTGGGTGTGGTATAGAGAAATCCTACACATCTTATAGCCATCAAAAGGAGAATAAGATAATACTACAAGCAACATTATATACATAAATTTGACCCAAAAAAATCAGCAAAAATACAGAAGGTCTTATCAACACAATTGTACAATATAATCTAACTGACAAAGTATAGAAGCCCCACCCAAACCAACAGGAGCACAGACTGTAAGGACCCTTTACTGCTCAATAAGAAAGCGTTTCAGGCTTACAGGCCATTCTCATGTGGATAAATTAGAGTCAAAGATGGACTACCATGCACAGGAGAGCCTTCCCCAGTATGAACAAACGAATATGCAGAAACTGAATTAAACACAGTAGTATTTATGATCACTCCCCCCAGTGAAATACTTGGGAATGAACTTTAAAAAATACTTACAGTCTGCATTCAAAAGTAAAAATAAAAAGGCAATCCACTGAAAAAGGGGCAAATACAGAAAAGATGTTCAATATCCTTAGCTATCACGGGGACAAAAATTAAAACCAGAATGAGATACCTTTACATACCCATTAGGATGGCCTAAGTTTTTAAAAAAATGTAACAACCAAATGCTAGTGAAGATGTGAAAAAATTGGATCACTCCTGCACTGCTGGCGGAAACCAAAACTGGTCCAGTGGGGAAACTAGGTAAGGTCTATTGGGCTTCCCTATTTCATATCTTACAACTGGAAGCGAATCTACTATTCTCATTTAAAAGATTTACTTTAAAAAATAGAACAGAAGTTTTAAAAAGTGAAACACATAAAAGTAGGAAAACTTAGAGTTGATGATCTATTTTTTATCCCTTTCTGCAAATTCCAGCTATTGTGCTACACTGAGTAGTTCATGAAACTTATTTCTTTTTAATTTTATGTACATAGTAAGATTAAATATACCAAAATCATTTACTGCAGTTAAATGTGGTTACATGGCTAAACTCTGACCAGTGAAATGTAGATAGATGAGGCATTCATTACTTGCAGGGCTTGGGTTATCAAACTCTTTATTTTCTATCCCCATCGCTTGTTGGAGGAGCATAGATTTGAAAGCTAAATTTTTATGAGGGATAAAATAGAGGAGTCTGTGACTCTGAAATACCACTGGAAGACATATAACGATGGGAACCATTTTTAGAATTTCATGAATGAAAAATAAATAATTTCATTAAGCCACAAAGATTGGACAGCCATGATGTTAATTCATGTAAGTAATTGTTTTTCTCAGCTCTTCAGAAATCAAGATCAACATACTTTTCTAGAATATTTTATTGTCTGTTTCATTGGATCTATAGAATCATTGATTATCCATGTCTTTTCATCAGGTAAGAAAATATTAGCAAGTGTCTCTAATTTTGATTCAGTCCCTTCTCTATCATCTTGAAAGTGTTTTTAAAACAATTTATAACTCTCTTGTTCCAGAAAAGATTTAAAGTAGCTGACAAAATGCACACAGTATACCAAAATCAAATAAATTAGAAATAAGAAAAAAAAAGAGGCAACAGTAAGAAACAGAAAGGGGAAATTGAAATATTCCCAGGAGTGAGGTAAATACATAAATAAATTCCAGACAGACCTATGTGTTTACAGACCCCCATTTATTTCTAGCAGTCTACATGACTGGGAAACCCATGCTTTTTATCATTCGCCAAGATTTATTTGCATAAACCTTTTTCAATTTGAGGTAAAAGGCATGCAAGTTAAAAGTTGCTCAGGGGAAATACAACTTATCCAGAGAGTGTTCTCACAGAGAGGGCAGTGAATAAACAAACAGTTTCTGCAGCACCTGCGCAACCAACAGTGCCACAAATCAAAGCTCATTAGTCTTTAAAACTAAAATATTAAAAGAACGAGGAACCTAAGTGTAAATAGACCTCTGTTTTCTTATCTTTTACCACTTTCCATAGAAATCCCAATAACAACTGAAATGTATGCCTGAAATATGTATTAATCTGTTGAGAAAAAAAATGAGATGGAAATCTGAAATTTAATTGGTTTTCTCACTGGTATTTATGCGGTCATGGGTAAATTTCTACTTACTAACACACTGGGAACTGAAAATTCTGAAAGTTTTCCCTACATGAAGCAGACACAAATACATGTGTTTGTTGAAAAATATACATGCAAATTTCCTTTGGGTTCAGTGTAAGAACGCTGTAAATAGAGTAGTAACTTAATTTGATGTATGGAGTGACTTTAGCTATATAATAGCTGAGAAAGGTCCCTTGAAATCAGATACTGGGTCCCAAAGTAACAACCGTTAGCAAATTAGAATAACATAAAACTTAACAGCATCATAAAAAATGTAACAACAAATTTGCATTTATAAAGAATTTGAAATGCACAGCAGTAAAATGTATGAACTTACATCTCCTCCATCCCTAAAAAGTTAAGGAATTATGGTACTTGAACCAGAATATTTTTCATGCCCACAAGGGGGACCCTTAGTACCATGGCAATAGAGTTTACACCGCACAAGTCTTACTGCTAATACACCGTTTGGTTAAATCCATGATCTCTCTTAAAATGCAGAAAGTCATTTCCTGTCACCTTGGCCTCACCTGTGAATCCAGGCTGACAAACACAAACATAACCTGCGGCTTCGTGATAACTGAATGGAGGAGGCAGCTGGGCAATGCGTCCATATTGTTTCTCCAAGGAGCGCTCCACACATTCCCCACCAGACTGGCAGGGATTGCTACTGCATTCGTTTATGTCTGTCTCACACTGGGCACCTGAGTATCCTGCAGGATGAGAGTTCAGAGAAACTGCTGAGTCAAAGCTCTCAAACTGTACAGCATGTGCCTGAACGGAGGTTGACCACTGTGCTGGTGCCAATTAGTTCATTGCCACCCTCAAAGAGCTAGCCAGGGGAAGCTGGTAAGAGGAGGTTTATGTGCAAAGAACTATTGCTAGCAATGGAATAAGTTGTGTAATTCTCACCGATACATTTTGAAAGATTTGATTGATGAGATTTGAAATTAAATAAGATTTAAGGAAGGCTTACGCTAATATCAGTTGGAAAAATTTTAATGCCCATATCTTGTAATCTGAGTAACTGCCTTAAAGATAACAATATACAATATAGTAACTAATGTTATTATTCTATTATCTTGTTTTGAAATTTTGTTTTATCTATTTTCTACAAAATAAAAAAATGGGACTTAAGAGAAGGTGGCTTTAACTTGAATATTTTAATTTGAATATTTACTAAAACCGAAAGCATTTGCTTTAATTTGGCATGTATTCCAACTGTTTGAATTTTTATCAAGAAGTAAATTTCTACAGAGAGTAACTAAAAAGTCAGCAATATCGAGAGTCAATCCTAAATGTTTCTCTTAAAATTTAAATTAAGGGTAAGTGATTATTTCTTAACATTCAATGAAACAGATTACATTATTTTATATTACTTTATATTTTATATTACTTTGTAATATATTTTATATTACTTTGTATAGAATCAGCTGAATCATTATATTATGGCCAGAAAATTTTTAAAAATCAATGATTTACCACTTTTTAAAGCATTAAAATAATAAATATAAACAAATTTCTTATCCAAACTGTTTCTTTGCTTTTACACACGTATATACCCATTAAAACTACAATATATATAGTTTAGATTGAGCTAACTCAGAATTTTTAAATGCCGCTGAGATCCAAAATATAGAAATACCATGGTTCAACCATTCTTTAATTGATTTTATATGTATTTTTCCTACTACAGTGTTGCAATGAATATCATTACTCATGTCAATGTGTGTTTGAGTAAAACCTTTATGCTTACAAATGGAATTTCTAGGTTATAGGTTATATACTTTTTGGGTGCAGACTGAAAAATGCCTTTAAAGCAGTTCTGCATTTACATAGTACCAGCAAATGGACAATTGTCTATGCAATTTCAAATCCTTCCTAATATTTAGTTGCTAAATATAAAAATTTTCTGCAGTTGGTAGTTTTAATTTATATTTCCCCTTGTTTTAATTTATATTTTCCCTAACTACTATTGAGTTTCATATTTTTTGACCCAAAAATGTTTTATATCACTTTCCTGATTTTTTATTAACTTACTGATTTATGCTGTGTGTCATGGCAACCCCCAAATGTAAATTTAGTGAAACATTAATATAGCCAATGGATAATAAAATTATATCAGCTTTTTGTGAGATGGACAGACAAATACATGAAGTTCTTAGGGAAACATAACTAGAGCTACAATATATGTGACTTCAGTCATCTAAAGAACTCCGTAATGTCACAAATCTTCTGAGGAACACATTTTTTAAACAAAATTTATAATCCAAATTGATGTTATATATCAAATTCTATTTTTATTACTTTAAAAGCACACTTTGTACAGTGGATAAAATTCAAAGTCCTTAACATGACCTAAAAACTCTCTCATTATGTGAGTCTCTTCTGTGTCCACATGATTGCCCATTCGCCATCTAACCCCAACTCCCGAGAATGCTTCCTACCCACCCTGGCCTTCGTAATGCTGCTCTCTTCCCTAGAAAACTCCTCCAAACCTTTGCTCAGCCATCTCTGACTCAGGTTTCAGACTTTGGTATCACTCTCTTAAAACTACTTGCCCTCATCAACCCATCTAACTTGGATTACGTGGTATCTCTTAAACCTCCCAATCTTTTTCACTTTTGCATTTTTGTAATGACTAATTATGCATTTGTCTGTATTATCTCCCTCAGCTGACTCTAAGCTTTACAGAAACAAGAATTGTGTTTATTTACTAGTCTAGTACGGAGCTATCAGACCTTCAATCCATGAAAAAATTAAGAATAAAATAGTAGTAGGTAATGGTAGTAGATTATGATAGTAGCTAATAGCAGTAGGCTGAAAATAGCAACAATTTACATTATAATTCTTAGTACATGAACCAGAATACTGACCTGTAATAAAGAAGATAATATGACTACCTATTTTACAACTTTAATAAAAACCTGAATGGATCATATGTCAAATAATAACTGCAACACAAATTCTACTGCTCAATAGTATAATGCATCTGTTACTTATAACCTTTGGGAGTTTTCTCAATCATCTGAAGAAAAAACTTAAGAATCAAAAAATAAAAATAATAAACTAAATGAACTTGTCAGATCAAGATCTCACAACCCTTTCCCCTAAGGAACACTCAGGGTCTCATAAACTTGAATGGTTCCTCTATCATATTTCAGCTTATACAAGAATGCAATAAATAACTGATTTTTATGAACTTGAATTTTTGTGTTACAGTTGACTGACCGAAGGAAGCCTGGATTATTTTCAATTTTCTTTTCATTCTTAAGACTCACTCATACACAGTGAGGTTAGAAAGTAATCTCGAAGCATCATAAATCCTTTTTTGTTTTGTTTTGCTTTTCCGGCTCATGCATTATCTGACTCCAATCCTGAACGTTAGGAAGGTTTTGATTTATAGTTTTGCCAGTCCTGTCCCCACCAGTGAGGCCGTGTGGGAATTTTACTTGCTATTCTCCTTAATCACAGATATAAATAGACTTCTACAGTCAAGACTATATTCAATAGTTTTAACAAGTTTTTCCATAAAACTCAAAGAAGAGATATGATGTTGCATCAAGTCCCAGGGTTTTTATGTTGTTTGTTTTTAGAACATCCAATCACATGAACATGAGGAAAACTTCTAAGGTAGGCATTTAAGGTGATACTTTTTCTTTTTCTTTTCTTTTTTTTTTTTTTTTTTTTTTTTTTTTTGTCTTTTTCGTTTTTATCGGTACCGGGGATCGAACTCACGACTGCCTGTTTGCAAGGCAGGTGCTTATGTCACTGAGCTAAGTCCCCAGCCCCCAGGTGATACCTTTTCATAATGCATTAGGCTTTAAATGAAGACTGTAGCTATAGCAGTGGATTCTTGCCCTTGCATTCTGATGCAGTGGTTTCATGACCCAAATGAATGGTTTTCCTTTTTAAATGTGGTTGGTAGTGTTCAATCTTTTTTTTTTTATGTATAATAAAATAGGGTACAAAGACATTCTGAATTTTGTAACAGAACCATCGACATTGGGTACCTAAGACAGAAACTCAGTAGAACTGTCTTGAATCTGAACCACATTATTTCATGTGGATCTCCCAAGCATCCATCCTCCTGAGCGCACCCCACGACTGATGTGTTACCTCTGGGACTCACCTCTGCTTAGACTCCTCCAGAACACGCTCACTAGAACCCTGCCTTTGATTATGTCTCCCTCAACTGGCCGTCATGAAACTGCAAGAGAGCTCCTTTAAAATCACAGGTCAGATCATAAAACTTCCCTGCCCCTCAATTTGCAAGAAGGATGAGCAGCTTTGTGGTGTGGCTTCCATCTTGCTAATAGATCTGTCTCTATAACACAAGCCCCGTATAATCCAGTTCTCACTCATAAGTTCAGGATTGGAGCTTCTTTTTATGTGTGTCTTCCACTATTTTTTGCTCCTTTTTTCTCCTCCATTTTCTCCTTATTTTCTTCTTCCCGTAAATAAGTAACGGGTTACTTGGTGCTGCCCATAGAGTCTAGGATGGTCAGCTTCCTAATTTTGGTATTTAGTTAGCATTTTTTGGGTACATTCTATGAAGCAAGTTCAGCCATGCACTTGTATACATGAGTAGATTTCTCTGTGAAAAATCTCTATGAAGTAGTTATTTCCAGTATCGCTGCTTTATAAATGAGGAACTGAGGCTCGGAGAATTTATATGTCCAAAGTCACACAGCTAATGTATACATTTCTAATATATGTTCAGTCATCTTTAAAGTAGTCTAAAATGATACCTCCTTGGTCAACCCTCCCCTGTACTTCTCCCTTTATTTCCTTTAAATAATTTATTATAGCTCCATAACATGCCAAAAATCATGCTACACATGTTTTTGCACAAGCTTCTTGGGGATACTAGAATTATCTCTTTGGGAAAAGGGATGATGGTTTTTTAAGTCCCAGATTCTAATTTGTGTAGACTTGACTATGAAATACAAGTGGCTTTAAATGATTAGATGTGTGAATGAATGGAGCCTATACATGCTGTTTTGTTTTCTTTTATTTTGTTTTTATGGTGTTGAGAATTTGACCCAGAGCCTTTGCACTAAGCTATATCTTCAATCTATTTTCACTTTTTACTTAGATTCAGATTCTCATTAAATTCCTAAATTGAGGCTGGGCTCAAACTTACAATCCTCTTGGCTCAGCCTCTCAGAGTGCTGGAATAACATGCATGCATCACTGCATCCAACTTGCATGTTTTTTTTTTCTTTTAAGACAAACCTTCTAACTGCTGGGCTCCATTATGCAACCCCATAGAAGAGTCCATCTCTCATACATAAGTTCCATCTTATGCAGTACAAGTTGGCATGTAGCAACATTCATCCTTTTAAAGCTATTAATATATTAAACTCTGCTTTTATAATTTTAATCTTCAGAATGATACTACCAATAGATTATTTCTATCCTCTTCTTCAAATGAGAAATTTAAGGACTTAGAGGAAACTCACTCAAATTTACTCAGTTATGGTAGTCCTATCCTCTTTTCAAATCATTTACTTTAGCCCCTACTTCTGGGTAAAAACCCTACATACGAACATATTTGGGCAAGTTTTCAGTATTTAAGTCAAACTGATAATTAAAAGACAGTAAATGTCCCCATTATTTGAAGGGGCAACACGTAACATACACAGATTTCTAAGTTATAGGACAATGCCAAGTTATATTTTTAGTACTGTTTTTAAATATACAGAGTATATTTAACCAAAAAGGTCAACTGTCCTTCAGGCAATGAAATATCTCAAGCAGAAGCTTCTACTGATGGGATGAGATTTATTCTGCATGTTTTCCTTCCATCAACAGGGCTATTTTTTCTTTAAGTAGATAAACGAGAATAGGAAGATAACCAGTAAGCTCACACAATTAGACCTTGAATAATGTTATCATTTTTCCCCCAGTGGGTCAAGAAAGAAAATAAGAGAGGTGCTGTACTGCTCATTTCTATCAATAAGTGCTAGTTGTCAGATAAAAAGTCAAGCAAGTTATTCACAAAAATTAAAATCAACATTTTTAGGTGCCCAGTAATGTAACTCATATATTATATACTGCTTTCTATTTGTTCTTGTATCATCTGTACATTCAAGTCTATCCTTTATATGTAATTTTAGCTATGGTTTTATATGCTTAACTTATATTCTTGTTGACCTTTGAAATATGTAGGATATTCCTTCTATTTCTGCAAAATCCTTTGTCTTCTATGGGTACCATCATTATGATGGTGATAAACTTTGTGAATTATAACACAAGTTCCTAGAATTTTAATGTCTCATGGGTTTCTATATATTTCTGTAGTCTAAGAAGATATTTTAAAGAAGCGGAAGTTGTGTTCCAGTGAATCGTTCTTTACTAAAAAGGTGTTGAATTTTATCTTTCTATTGATTTTACACTTTTTTCCCATATGGTTCTGATCACTGGGCAGCTGAGTCACCTACAATTTAGCAGTGTGTAGTGTAACTGTAAGTATGTACGAACACCAAAGAACACTAATGGAGTTGATAATTAGTAGAATTGGTTTAAAACCTTTACAAGAATTTTTAGCTCCATTTTCTGTAACTAGGTTGTTTCTATTCTAAGCAAAGAAGAAAAAAGAAAGTCGATGTAAGCTATTTTGTCACTTACCAGGCCAACAATGACAAATATAATTGTCAACACTGTCTTCACAGGTAGCATTATTGTGACAAGGTTTTGACCAGCAAACAGGCATCAAGGTCTCACAGTGTGTTCCTGTGAATCCACTACCCACGCAGTTGCAGCTATATCTGAAGGGTAAATGAAATTTTCTTGTCAACTGGTAGTCAAATGTAAATCAATTATTTTTATCTCCACTCTCAGTCTCCTAGTCTTCTCAGTAAGCTTTATCCCCAGCCCTATTTTCTTTCTATACTGAGAAAAAGTTTCACTAAAACCTGAAGTTGCCCAGGTTGAGTTTAAATTTGCAGTGTCCCTTCCTCAGCCTTCCATATGGCTAAGATTACAGGTGTGTACCAGGGATTTTGTCTCTTTTTCCCATTAACCGAAGACCTATAGCTTCATCTTAATACTGACCTCACTGCCTATAGACTTGAATGCATTATGTGTTTTTATATTAGTCTTATCACTATCTTTTAAAAAATTATAATAAATCTTCATGTAAAATGATTTGGAAAACATGATTTTTTTTCATTTCCTTTACCCACAAATTTAAGATAATAGTACCTACATCAGAGCATTATTTGATAATTAAATGTACATATAAAATAGATGCAATATGTCAGGCATCTTAAGGTACTCAATAAATAATAATTAAACAGTACTAAATAAAATTGTTCATATCACTGAAGATAGCAGAGAATGATTTGTGCCATAAAAGCTTCCTTATGAGAGAATGAACCAATAAATTATGAAAAATGTCAGCAAATCCCTCATTAAATAAATTGTGACTTGTAACATTCCTTTATTTTTAAATTACAAGAATAGTATAGTCTTGTTATTTCTAATCATTCACTGCTTATGTGAAACTATATGACAGTCCCCAAATATATGTCTGTTAGGGACAGCTATTGACTTCATGCACTGGGGGGGGGGGGTCTTTCTCCTTAGGTGAAATTTCATCAAGGATATGATATAGAAAATGATTCTGCTACTTACTTTAGAATGCAGAATGTCTTGGTTAGGGGATACCTATACATTATAAAGGAGTTTCAGTTCTGTTCAACACGGTTATGTGTATTTACCAACTAACACAGATATTTGGACATGTATAATGAAATTGAAACAACAAGGTTATGAATGACTGTAATTTATATGACTACTTGGACATCTTCTATTTGTTATTCCATTAGTTTAATTGGAAATACTTACAAAAAAGTCTTATTAGAGATAAGAGCCATGTACTCAAGGAGCTTGACTGCTGGTTGGTGTCCCTCATTTTATGGAATTAAAATTTCATTTGTATAATTCTTATGGTCTAAAGAACCTTTTTTTATCAACTGCATCATGCAAAATGTGTTAATTTTTAATTATGGAAAAATAAAGCCAAGTCATATTGGTTGACTGCATAATTATCTTTTCAAAATTAAGACAGTAAGAAATAAAATGCCATTAGTAAAATGGAAAACTATTCATATGATTCAAAGAAGGGCAGCAAACTGTGGCAAAGTTTGGCATTGTTTTGTTTGCATTCCCCCTGGAATTGAAAGATTTGTGTAATTTCTGTTTTCTGATTTCTGGAGACGGCAAATCTGCATAGGACAGCTTCATTTTCCTCTGGAAATCTTGTCAAAAGTTCTTTGGTAATCTGGCTGTCTCTATGTTGGCCAACTGTCTGTCTCCAAGAATAGAGATTCATGTCATTGGCACATTATTTAGGAATGACTGAAGTCAGAGAAGGGTATGAAACGTGATTAAAGTTATGCTGTGTATTTTACAAAAGAAATTGTGCAACCAACTTACTCTGTTAATAATCTTACTGTTTTGATGCATATATTTGAAGTGCACATGCCTTTTACAGCTCTCTTTTGAGTCTCATTCACTTCAAAATTAAACTTGTGATAGATGATGTCTTATTTATCAAATAAAGGAAAATTGGATTTAGTTCCTCATTTTGTAAAGAATTAGCTGTGTGAACTTGTGGAAGTCGTCTTTCTTGTACTTTGATATCTTATTGTAATACTGGAACATTAATGCCCATCCTGTCTTCCCCTGAGATGTTAAAAGATCAAAAAGATAGTTTGAAATGCAAGAGTTAAGTATTACTAATGTATTTGATGATGTGGTTATTTATTATTTTCATAACTATTGGAAAGTTCTTTCCAAAATTTTTGATATGAGCTCAACTACCATTACACAAATTTATTATTTTTATCATATTGAGATATATTATATTGTTGTACTTTCTGCCTGTAAGACAGTGATAGAATCTGATTTGTAGAAATATGATAAGATTATTTCTAACCATTATGCTGTCTCAAAAATCTTCATCCAATTTCCCATATTCTCGAGAATTCAAAATATGAATAATTCAATATTATTGTTCCTTCCAGCACTGTTTATATAAGATTTCTAGAACATTTATTTTGCCACTTGATTTATATGCTTGTCATCATATAGACACAATCTTATAGTCACAATTTTAATAATAATTAGCTTTGCTTTTGCATTTCCCTATTTACAACAGGTTTATTTCATAGAATTGAAAAGTTTACACTCTTCCATGCAGACAAAGTTAACCAATGCAAAACTACTGTATTTCAAGAGTTACTTGGAAAAGCTCACTAGAAAAGATGATCTCCAAACAATACACTTTTTAGTAAAATATGAATGTTACAACTTTTGATAATTTAAGTAGAAAGTAATCTATGAATTTTAAACTGAGTTGTTGAAATTCACCAGAATGGTCCAGTAGTTCCGATCTCTTTAAGCCACTCACCCATGGGAGGGGAAGACATACCTGTTTCTTCCGTCTACACATAGCCCTCCATGGAGGCAGGGCTGGCTGGCACACTCGTCAATACTGAGTTCACAGTGATCTCCTAAGAATCCAGGGGCACAGTCACAGAAATAAGCCTCCAGAGCATCCCGACAAGTTGCACCATTTAGACAGGGCTGGGACCAACATTTATCAACTTGTAATTCACAATTGACACCTTTGAAAAAAGTCAGCATAGAAATATAGGAAAGTTTTAGCACAGTAAAAATATTTTGGCAACGCTTTATTTACTAAGGCACTTGTCAAATGTTATGTTACCCAAAATAATTTTTCCTTCATTTATAATTATTAACATTGGTGTGTTTGTGGGAAATTTTACAACGCAGAGCAGCTGTTGCATACAACAGCTTGTAGCTTTTTTGGTCTATGGAAACAAGTCATTTTAGAAAAAAGTTATCGTTAACTGTATTTTTATTGGAACCCTAAACTGAACCAGTTTATGTTTTTTTATTACATTCAAATACGTGGTTTCACTAAGCAGTATAGAAAAATAGTAAAGAAAAGTTCAAACTCTTAAAACCAGAAGACTGGGCTGAGATCTTAGCGCATCCAATTAATTAGCTGTGTGATCTTAGTCAAGTCTCTTAACCTTTCCATAGTTCAACTTTCTCCCTGGAAAAATAACAGTAATTGTTGTAACAATGCCTTGGGATTGGTATACAATTCAGTGGATTCTGAAGTGATTATGAACTGGCACTAGAGAAATAACACTTGTTCTTTCCACGAAAATCTATCATACAAATGTTTTGTGCAAGATGAATAAATTGGTGTATGCCTGTAATCCTAGCATTCTGCAAGGATCTCTGCATTTGACCCCAGCCAGGGTAACTTAAGGAGATCCTGCCTGAAACTTAAAAATTACAAAGGAGTGAGGATATAGCTTAGTGTGAAGGCCCTGAGTTAAATTTCTTGTGCTACTAACACAAACACACACACAAGCACACACACAAAGCTGTACAATTATTTGCTATATTTTTAGTGTTGTAAAGCACTACTTTCAAATATAAAGTTAGAATATGACAACGTAATTTATGTCAAAATTAGAATCTATTTCACTTAAAGGTTCGATTATATTAAAATAGAAGTATATACTCCCCCAAGAAAAACAGATGATTAGTATTTATTAGGCAAAAAAAGCTTAAGATTTTAAAAATTGGAGTTTTATTAGGATAAAAGATTTCACTGAATCTGTCAACACAGTATTTGATACACAGTGATCAACTTTGTATGCAGGCTTTAAAAGACACAAAAGGATGAATATTTGCACTTATTGTTTTTAATTGTGTATCTGTAACCCCTTAATAATGAACCACATATTGGAATAATATTGAGGAGTTCTCAAACAGCTCAGGAGTTTGTCAGTTTGACTGATTTTATGCTTTTATTTTCCTGATAAAAATACAGTAGGATATTCTATGCTTATCTACCATTTATGACTGTCATCAGGGCCTAAAAATACTCATCTCAAAAAAGATGGCAGCACATTAAATTTGATTGTGTCTAAAGAGCTTAAAAATTAAAAGTTTCTATCAGTAACCACGGAAACGTGCAGCAGTTTTTGGCGCCATCCCATTTGAGGTGGTCGTGGTCACCCTCAGCATCTCTCATTTTCTCCCACAATCCTGGTTTCTCTCTCTGAAATCCCTCAGAAATGGGAGTTCCATAAAAATCCTCATCCTAGCAAGATGTATTTAAGTTTTTGAAATATCTCCCCTTGGTGTCAGGAGCAGAGCAGAGGTGCCTTGCGTGTAGTAGGAGCCTCCAAATGGTGGGAACCACGACGAGCTTGCAGCTTCTCACCTCCTGCCTCTGGGCTGCAGAGGAGCTGACCCGGCCTGTAACACCACGCCTCACTCCCTGCTCGCCACACCATCTCTAGCTTGTTTCCAAACGTTCAGTTCGAGCCACACAATTCTGGAATCCACACTTGGCTGCCTGTACCTGCCTCTGATGTCACGCAGCTGTGTTCCCAAATCTCCCTGTAATATAAATGTAATTTTACTCTGCAACACGGTGGCGTATTTTCCCATTTTGCTTGCAAAATGATGAGATCTTGGAAGTCAGTGTTTGTTCTTTTATACCAACATCTGTAGCATTTAGCATATATCCTTAAAAATAGAAAACAATGAATTTTGAGTGAACAAATGGAACAATTATGGAATAATCTACCATATTTCCTGGAAGATGAGCTAGTAAGTGAAAGAAGAGATTCTCGGTGCTTCTCCAAGCCTTGAGCCACTGTAAATCAAAAGCCCTGAAGTCAAAGTTATGGCTCTGACAATTGTCAAAAACAAATCTCTGAATGATGGCTCCCCAAATGTATGATAAGCGTTTAGAGATTGCTGTCCTTTACTATGTACCTTCTGGTGATTAGAGACTGATACTAACATTCTGTGCTGTAAGATAATGCATGTTGTATGCTATCAGTGCAGAGCAGGTTTGCCCCGTTGCTCTCCCATAACTCATCACAGCGGGCAGCCAGAGCACCACACAGGCGGCCTGGCACTGGTGAACCGCTCCCAACACCTTTCTCCTCATCTGCGCCACCCGAGCTTTGGCAGGCATTGTACTCTGGCTTTAAGCACCCGCCTAAATTTTAGTTTCCACCCAATATATTTTATATCCTAATGGGCCTCTAACACACATTATTCTTTTGAATAAGAATTATGTTGCTATTTCTGGGCTTGTTGCACATATCAATTATGGCAGTTATCAGTGCGGTTCTGTGACACCAGTATCTGTGCAAAGAGGAAATACAGCGTTCCATTTTCATTACCGATAGACACATAACTGTTCTCCTATATATCACAGTCATCATTTTTAACATGGACAATGAAGACAGCCAGATGGCTTCCTGTTCTGATTCACAGCATCAGATAAGCAGAGTAATGCTTAGCAGAATATTACGGGAGATTAATGCAAATAGTTTTCATTTTCCATGGGATCATCTTTGGGGTGTTAGCCAATTAGATTTCTGGCTTGTGCATTGAGATACACCTTTCCTAAGAATATCCAGAAGTAACAAAAGGCCCCTTTTTTTATTAGTTCATGTTTTCAGTAAATGACAATTACATTCCTTGTGTGGAGTTGACGCACACACATCTTAATTTTGTTTCTCATCACCTTTGCCTTGTTTCTTGCCTTCTCCCTCCATCTCTTGATTTTCTTCCCACAAATTGCCTTTTATAATCATTCTCTTAAAGCAGGGTTTGCAAGTCCAGAACTCTGTCTTTGAAGGACTACTCAAATTTGTCACCTCTAAAACTACTTTTTCTCTCATTTTTAGCATCTCTAAAAGTATCATGCACTTTATATTAACACTGTCTCAGGCTTGTTATATTTTAATTGTATCATTTTTCTTAGTGGAATGTAAAATCTATGTAACATTAACAACCATGTACTATATATATTCTCATGAAGTAAAAATAACATTATTCTTTTATCCTACTTGTAAATTTAATACTTTATTTTATTTAATTCTTATCATGTTCTTATTATAATTAACCTAATCCTTTTCCTTTCTACAGTTTTGCTTTTATTGAAAGACAAAAACTGGGATAATTCTTATTTCAATATTGAACAATTTTTGCTGGCTTTATCAATCTTTGTCACGCTGCATCCTCTTGAATATTCCTTGTATTATAAAAAGTTTGAGAACGTTCTCAGCTCTGTTAGCTCTGTCTTTCTAGATGTTTGTGGAGGCTGACACTGGTTGTAGAAAGAGTAGGAAAGAATGTCTCTTCTTTGCCAGCTGTAGGGGAAAACCATGAGAGGAAATTCTCAGATGCCCCTGTAGCTAATTATACTTTCTGGATTACAGTTGTCTGTTTGGAGAACTATTTTTCCTACTTATCTGTGTGCTCGTCTGTTTTTCCCTAAATCCATCAGTGTACTGTACCTTCCATATTACATCATGAATGGAGTAACTTATGTCAAGTTGTCATTTGACTGTAAAATAGTACTTTCAACTGACTTTAGTCAGTACACATGATTTTTCCCATCTGGTGTCTGTATTTTGCATATGTGAATATATACATAAATATATATTTTTAAAACTTGAGGAAAATAATAAAATATATATCAAGGGCTGAGAATATTGCTCAGCAGTATAGCACCTGCCTGGCAAGCATGAGGTCCTGAGTTTGATTTGCAGTACCCCTCAAATAAAAGAAACAAAATATATATTGAGTACTATATACAAAGTTTAAGAAGCCAAAGTAGGGTCAGAGACTTTAAAATGTTATGTTTGAAAAATAGTATTTTATGAATGGTTTACGTCTTTCTTATCCATTACTTGTGAATACTATAAGGAAAATGTAATAATTGCAATTTATGTAAATATGTTAATATCTTAATATGTATTTTATATTTCTATTATTACATTTTAATCATGGAAAATTAATCTCATGTTTCTATTAATTAAAATACATCTTATTACTAAATATTTGAAATATTAAAATAATAAAAATTTCTTAAATTATTTTATGATATGCTAGTTTCAGAAATTAAATTCTTGCCTAGAATTTAAGAATTAAATTCTTGCCTATTAAAATACTACAATATGAATTCATAAGGGGAACAAAGAGAATATGACTCAATGTATTTCTGACTCTAGTTCTGGCAGTATTTAAAACAAGATAGCAGTTTATATGTTAGAAGATGATAATATAGGAAGACAATACCTGCAAAAAGCGTTCTCTCTTGATATTAAATTTTATCATTCAAAAATAACAAAACATTACATGCAGAAAGACAGGTTTTTGTTTTATTCATTGGCTATATTTTTCTATAAGGGATTTCCTACTCCAAGAAGTGTTAATGCCTCTTTTCTTTGTACGTCCTCAACACTTCATTCCTAGACAAAATTGTATTTTTTATTTACATGCCTGATAACCGGATAACTGTGGGCCTGCTAGCAGGGATAAATTTTGTCTTAGTCAGTTAACATCTCCGAGGTCTAGCACAATGATCAGTGCATTGTAAGACTGTATGTTTGCTGAGTGAATAACTTGGTGTGTTCATTCAACAAACATTTGTCAAGAACTAGAAAGTTCATTTCTTCATGAAAAATTTTCTCAAGTTTTTAATTTTGAACAAAAGCCTAAACATTTGATTTTTTTATATGATAACATAAGGTCGCCAATTTCATAATTAAAT